AGGGAGGGGACCCGAGAGGGTTGCCCTCTTTATCCTATTTTCTAAAAGCACTTTATTGATCAGTATTTTTTTAAGCATGGGGTTGGGGTGGAGGTAGAACACTGCAAGAGGAGGTGAGGCTGAGGGCCCAGGGCCTGCTGGCTATGATGAGCCAGGGGAGCATGGGACAGCCAGGGCTGCGGGTCGCACTGGTGCTCGAGGAAGTGCTGGGATTGCAGAGTCAGGGAGGTTCCCTGGATCTTGCTGGGCACTGTCACGCCCTGCTAAGCACTTCTTCTTCTTTTTTTTAAGATTTTATTTATTTTACACAGAGAGAGAGAGCACAAGCAGGGGGAGCAGGAGAGAGAGAAGAAGCTCACCATTGAGGAGGGAGCCCAGTGCTGGGCTTGATCCCAGGACCCTGGGATCATGACCTGAACCAAAGGCAGACGCTTAACCGACTGAGCCACCCAGAGACTCCTAAACACTTCTTCTTTATCCCTCTCTAATCTGAAATAATAAATCCATTTGATTAATTACAAGGACTTAGGTGAAACCCTCAGGCCACATCTCCAGGAAGGTGACAACTATATGGATTGGGACACGTTCTGGCAGACTCCCTATAGCTGCCAGTTCAGCCATGCAGCCCGTGTTTGCTGAGCACCTACTGTGTGTCAGGCATGTGCTAGGAGTTTGAAGATACAGTGGTGACTGCCCTGCCCCCGCTTCCTGGATGGTAGAGCCTAGTGGTCTCTAAAAATGAAAGGACCAAGGGTGCCTGGGTGGCTCAGTCGGAAGTGTCTGCCTTCGGCTCAGGTCATGATCCTGGGGTCCTGGGATCGAGTTCCGCATCGGGCTCCTGGCTCAGCGGGGAGCCTGCTTCTCCCTCTGCCTGCTGCTCCCCCTGCTTGTGCTCTCTCTGTGTCAAATAAATAAAATCGTTAAAAAAAAAAAACTTTAAAAAAATAAATAAATAAAATGAAAGGACCAGCCAAAAAAGGTAGACACGACCCAAGTGTCCATCAATGGGTGAATGGCTAAATAAAATGTGGTATAGACCTACAATGGAATACTGTTCAACCTCAAAAAGGAAGAAAATTCTGACACAGGTTGCAATAGCCTGAGGATCTTACGCTAAGTGAAAGAGGCCAGTCACAAAAAGATCAATACCCTACGATTCCATTCATATGAAGTACCTAGCGTCATCAAATTCTTTCTGAGTCAAATTCTCAGAAAGTAGAATGATGGCTGTCAGGGACTGGGGGGATAGGGGAATAAGGAGCTGTTGTTCAGTGGGTGCAGAATTCCCATTTTACAAGATAAAAAGAGCTCTGGAGATTGGCTATACAACATGAACCATAAACTTAGAAATGGCTACGATGGTAAATTACATGTTATGGATTTTTTTTTTTTAATATTTAGTTGATAGGGTGCACAAGCGGGGCAGTTGGGTGGGGGCGGGGGCAGAGGGAGAAGCAGACTCCCCGCTGAGCAGGAAGCCCCACGTGGGCTCGATCCCAGGACTCCGGGATCGTGACCTGAGCCCAAGGCAGACGCTCAACCGACGAAGCCACCCAGGCGCCCCTATGGATATTTTTTAAATTAAAATAAAGACAGCAAGGACTATGCACACACATGGGCCAGAACCACAGTCCCAGCTCTGCAGGAAGAGCAAAGGAGACCACGATGAGGCCTCAGTGAGGATCAGGGATGCGTCTGGCCCCGTGGAATCCCCAAACGCAGCTCCGTAGCATCTTGGTCTCTCCCACTGAAAGCCACACAACAGTGACATGGAAACCATGTCACTGAGTCACCCTCGCTATTGTCCTGCCCACTCCCCTTCAAACAGGCCCACGTGACAGTGTGCCCCCGGGGTGACCATGGGGTCCCCATCCTCCCTCCTGTGGCACCTAACTCTGATGGCCTGGGGTCCTGACACGCACCTCCCCCACACCCGCCAGCCCATGGAGACTGCTCTGAGCCGGGTCCCCAGGCCAGACCCTAGATCCCACCAGGAAGTGTAGTGCAGGCTTTCCACCCTGAAGACACTTAGTACTCCACTGGAAACTCAGCTTTTCTTCCTGGAGGGTGGTCTGACGATGTATGTCACCATCTCAATGGATACACATGCCTTGACCCAGCAGATCCGCCCCCCGGGGTTTTTTCTAAGGCCATTACAGACACTTGTCTGATGTGTTTGCAGAGATGATTATTGCAGCGCTGTTCACAAGAGTGAAACTTTGGAAACCATTTAAATGTCTGTCAGTGGAGGGCTGCTTTAATTAGGTTTAAAAAATTCAAACTATGAAGCCATTAAAAAGTGGTGGTGGAGACCATTACTTATTAACACAGAACGGTTGCCCTGATGTAGAGTTAGGTGGGAGGCAAACACAGGGTGCGTCTACAGGATCCTTCAGAACAAATTGTGTACATGCCCAGGGTATACACATGGTTCTCAAGGGCTCGCTTCATTTGGTCCCCCTGAGGCCCAGCCCATGTTGGGGGGCAGGAGGCCTGTGTGCTCAGAGGAGGGCAGGCAAAGCCAGCACTGATGGGAGGCAAAGTGAGCCCCTCACTGGCCACCCATGGCCTCTTGGGCTTGGGCCCCTGTTCTCAGGAACCACACAGCAGCTCTGCAGAGACAGGGTGGTCTTGGCAGCCGCTGCTTGAGCCCATTCCCTCTCCCTGTATGGCAGCTCCCTCTGCTGCAGGCACCGTTTGCTGGACACTCAGTCCACGATGATGTCTGCCCTGCTGAAGCTTTACTCACCACTCAGCCACACTTAGTGAGCATCTACTTTGCATCTGTAGACTGTTGGGATGAGACTCTGGGGCCTCCAGTGTGGAATAGAGGCCAGTAGAACAGTGGGCTGGCCTTGGGCAAGTTGCTTAAGTTGTCAGAGCCTCAATTTTCCCATCTGGAAAGTGGGGATAATACGGAGCTTCCTCAAAGAACTTATCACCAGATGCCTCTGGGAATGGGGAGGAGACTTTAGTTTTGCACTTGGTGAATTTTAGGCCATGTGTACACGCTATCAAGTCAAATACTTCCTGTAGGAGGGCCATGAGAGGACCAGGAAGGGCTTTTTAAAGGGGGCGCCACGAGGCATTCATCCTACCAGATAGGTTCTATGTTATTCAAGAGCCACACAAAAGCAGGCCCTTCTGCACAGGGTAGCTGGGGGGGAGGGGTGAGTGATTCGAGCCAGGGACAGGGTTGGGACTCAGTGGCCCCATGCCTGGCACTCTGGAGCATAAAGAGATGATTCAAGATAGTTGAGTGATTTCAGTGCTGCACAGTTAGGTGCTGAGTCTATGCAGACCAATTACTAGGGTTGAGCTTCTCTAGGAAGACCTGTTGAGTAGATTCCAAGTGAGAAGCACCGTATGTTCTTTGGCTCTGTTGGAGAACCCTATGTACATTGGCATCTTAAAGGCGCTGAGATGGGGCGCCTGGGTGGCTCAGTTGTTAAGCATCTGCCTTCGGCTCAGGTCATGATCCCAGGGTCCTGGGATCGAGCCCCGCATCGGGCTCCCTGCTCAGTGGGAAGCCTGCTTCTCCCTCTCCCACTCCCCCTGCTTGTGTTCTCTCTCTCTCTCTTGCTGTGTCTCTGTCAAGTAAATAAATAAAATCTTCAAAAAAAAATTTTTTTTTTAAATAAAGGCTCTGAGAAGTCCTGCAATAATGCTTCATTTAACCTAGTGCTTCCCAAGTATACATGACCAGGAACCTTTTTTTTTTTTTTTGGGGGGGGGTCCAGCCCATGTTAACATCCCACAGAACTAATGTACAGAGGAGGCTTGGGGATTAGGAAAATCTGTCCTAGAGAGAATCGGGGCAGCCTCTGACCTTCTGATTTTAAATTCTCTCTTTTGAGGGACACCTGGGTGGCTCAGTTGGTTAAGCATCCAACTCTTAATTTTGGCTCAGGGTTGTGAGATCGAGCCTGGCGTGGAGCCTACTTAAGATTCTCTCTCTCGGGGCGCCTGGCTGGCTCAGTCGTTAGGCGTCTGCCTTCGGCTCAGGTCATGATGCCAGGGTCCTGGGATTGAGCCCTGCATCAGGCTCCCTGCTCCGCGGGAAGTCTGCTTCTCCCTCTCCCACTCCCCCTGCTTGTGTTCCTGCTCTCGCTGTCTCTCTCTATCAAATAAATAAGTAAAATCTTAAAAAAAAAAAAAGATTCTCTCTCTCTCATCTCCCTCTGCCCACCCCCCTTCCTCTCTAATAAATAAATAAATAAATTCTCTCTTTTGAGTAGGGAACTTAGTCCACTGGCTGTAAAACTTCCATGTGTGGCGGATGAGAGGAAGCGGGCGGCAGGGATGATCATGAGCGTCACCTCTGTCGAGGGGCTGCTCTGTGCCCAGTGGGGCCTTATGTTCGTTCAAAGTCTGGTCCTCGTGGCTGCTCTGTGAGGCGGGCCCCGTTCCTACATTCCACCTAGTGGTGCTGAAACTGGGGATCTGGAAGGTCGATGTGTCCAGATCTCACAGCTGCCAGATCCAGATCCAAACCCAGGCCGTCTGCTCTGAACTGCCAAGGTCTTCTCTGAGAAGGTCACGTTCCTTCCCGCTCTCCCCGTCCTCTTACTGAATACCCTAAATGTATTTCTTTCGGTGGAGAGATTGTGGAGTACTTGGCGTTTCTTGAAGTAGGCATGAAGAGTTCGGGGACCTTATCTCAGTGCAGGTATCAGTTCTAACCTGGGGCTCTCTGCGGTCGGGGCCCTCCCTGCACCTGCGGGGATAGCCTCGTCCCCGGGGAGCCCTCTAGAACAGCTTCTGGTACTGCTCCGTCCCCGAGCCTGACCCTTCGCCGAGCCTCCTGTCGCTCGCTCTGCCCCAGAGCCTCGAGGGAAGGGGCAGGTGGGAGGAATGTGGGTGGCATCTGCGGAGCACCTTCTGGGTGCCCACAGCGCAGAGCACTTCCCAACAGGGGAGGAGAGCAAGCCAGCGTGGGAACACGGCACAGGGAGGGCTGCTGTGTGTCCCTTGCTCTAAGCAGATGTCACCCCTGCCAGGTCTGGAAGAGGTCGGGGGCCTGGTTCTACAAAGGGCTCCCCAAGTACATCCTGCCGCTGAAGACCCCCGGCCGGGCCAATGACCCCCACTTCCGACCTTGGCCCATGGAGCCCGCCGAGCAAAAGCCCAGAAGCACTGAGACTGGTCGTGTCTACACATGGGCCCGAGAGAGAGGTAAGTCCCCTTTGCCCCCCGTCCCGGGATAGCAGCCGTCACGCTCCCGCCATCAGCCAGCCGGGCAGCGCCATGGGCACCAGGCCAGCGTCGGCCACAGCCGCCACGGGGCTCATCCCGGCGCATCGTGCCTCCCTGTCCCTCCGCTCCCTGCCGGCGCCCATGTGAGCGGCTGGACCTTCGCACAGTGATCGCTCGCAGCAGGTGGGGTCCCCTGGGGGCCTTTTCACAAGCAAGCGCTCATTTGGGGCCGGAGATGCCGTGAGCACTAGGGATCTTTGCAGGAATGCGATACCTACTGAGGTTTCTCACCAAGTATGAGAACGCATCTTTCCGAAGCTGGCCCATACCGTCTCTTCCCTGTGCTTGTCTTGCGTCTCAGGAAGGGAGGACTCCTGGCTGCCCTGGTCCTAATGAGCAAAATGACTGTGCCCGGAGTCCTTTGGTCCTCGTGCAGGCCGCGCTGCTCTGGTGGCATGCCCGGTGGCCGCCGTCAGAAGGGGCGCTCGGCCCCACTGGTGGTAACAGTACCTGGTGTGGTAGACGGCCCCCCACAGCTTGCATGATGCTTTAATGTTTGGGATCTTAATTTTTAAAATTCCTGGTCTCAACACAGGTTCCAGAGTTGGTTGGAGCAGGTGTTTAAACCCTGTATTACAGACGGGTAGCCTGAGATGGGAGAAGAGGATGCACTTACTGAGCTGCTGTATGGCTGAGCTGGGACCAAAAGGCAGGGTCTTGTCCTCTGGGCCCTCGCTCCTTCTGCCCTAAAGGGTTCAGGTTTCAGCCCAAGATGTAGAGACTGAGGGTCCGTAATGAGAGAAAGCAGCCAGAGGGATGGTGGGCTTACCTGATGCTGGGGTCGGGGGAGGCATGGGAGCTGTTTCTGCAGGGCTCTTAAAGATTTCTGTCTTTGGATTAAGACCTGGCATTTATCTTTATATCATTCGGGCTTTTTTTTCTCTTGTTGCAAGAGTAAGGTGTGTTTATTATAAAACGTTGAAGGTTGCCGAGTGATATCCTGTAGAAAGTAAACATCGGCTGTAGGTCAGCCCCTCCAGACATGACTGGCAGTAACAGCTGGGCCTCTGTTCTGAAGCCTTCTCCTCAGCGTCCCCCAGCTCTTTGTGCAGAAGGCCTTGCTCGCTAATTCTCCCAGACTCCGTTTGCACTTCTCATTCCCACGAGTTCGCCTTCCCAGCCGTCACTGCCACAGCCAAGCCCTTGTAGGGACCATGGGCGAGTGCAGGTGGCCCCGGGGCGGGCGCGCAGGCAGGGGAGCAGGCCATGCTGGGACTGGCCCCAGGGGCGGCCGTGGGCCTCAGGGAGGAGCCCGGAATGGGGTTTTCTGGAGAAGTGGCTCCCTCCTCCACTTGGGCCCTTTTCCACCCTCGAGCTGGGGCTTCCTTCTGCCCCCACACCGTCAGGGTGCATCTGTGTCCCTCGGGCTGATGGAGGAGTTGCAGCTGGGGAGACAGAACGCGGCTTTGAGTGGGTTGAAGAGGGGAGGCCCCAGGGGCCCTCACCGCCCCATGTGCTCAGCATCCACACAGGACACACGTGCACACACACATACACGTGCATGCACACTTCCCTCTGGGAAGGGCAGAGTCTCTCTCTCCTCAGTCATGCAGACACAGATGGCCTTTTAGTGACGTGGGCGAGGAGACCAGCGGCCCACACGCTTGCAGGCGGCTCGGTGTATTAACTGAGTTTGCACAGCGGCCAGGCCAGCCCATGTGGCGGTCCCCCTGGTGAGCTTGGGCTCCCTCTGCAGACTGGGTCAGAAGCCTCCAGACTCCCAGAGTACAAGGCAGCACATCCTTCATGCAGGCCCTGGGCCAGCCATGTTGCAGCTCTGTGATGATCCCCATTTTATTTATTTTATTTTTTTTATTTATTTATTTGAGACAGAGAGAACGAGAGAGAGAGAGCACATGAGAGGGGGGAGGGTCAGAGGCAGAAGCAGGCTCCCCACCGAGCAGGGAGCCGGATGCGGGACTCGATCCCGGGACTCCAGGATCATGACCTGAGCTGAAGGCAGTCGCTTAACCAACTGAGCCACCCAGGCGCCCTGTGATGATCCGCATTTTAGTGCCAAGCAGGAACAGGTGGCCCAGACAGATGACTTATGTGTCTTGCCCATGGGCAGCAGAAAGGTGAGGGCTGCTGGCCCCAGGCTGGTTGGGGAAGCCCAGAGGGTGTCTGCACACACGCAGAGATGGGATACCTTGGGGGGTGCATGGAGTACATGGGGTGGGCAGGCCTGAACTTGAGGAAACCCACAGTCGAGAGGAAGACTAGGAGCTGGTGGAGAAGACAGAGGAGGCATTGCTGGGGAGGGAGGACGAAAGCCCAGAGGTTCTATGCCATGCGAACCAAAGCACCAGGGGTTTGCAAGGAGGGGGCCACACCCAAGCCGACTGCTCCTGAGCTGCTTCCAAGCCTGATCTCGTGGCTGTCCTCTCTGATGAGCCTGTGCAGAAGCCGGGATCTGTGCTTTCCGATTGACTTTGGGTCCCCTGGCCGTCGCAGACATGGCCATATCCTCACAGAGGCATTCGGGTGGCTACAGGATACCTGTGGGAGACTGGAAGGCCAGGCCAGCTGGAACCATCCTTATGATGGGCCTGGGCCCAGGGCGAGGGGGGAGGTCAGTCCCACGCTAGCCCTTCTGTGGCTCCTGGTGGTATACAGGCCTGGAGGTCAAGCCTGCGGCAGCCCCGCACTAATGATCTGCCTTGCCTGTCTGGAAGCCTCCCGAGCTGCCAGGGCCTGCCGCCTCAGTCCCAGTTCCTTCTCAAGCTGGTCTCCAGGCTGTCAGATTCCCGGCAGCAGACAGCCCCGGGCCAGCAGCCTTGGGAGTCTGGTGTAGGGGCCCCACGGGGCCTTTCCAGACCACTGACAACTGGGGAACCAATTAGCATTTTTCCAGCTCCAAGAGTGGCTTCCTCTCCCCAGCCCTACCAGCAGCCATGCCCAGGTGCCCAGCAGTTGGCTGGGGTCCAAACTGCAGTTTGTGGTCCAAGTGAGAGCCTATGTGCTAAGCACAGCCCTTAGAGCACCCCATTCAACCAAAACTGAGCTCAGGGCCAGGCAGAAATAAAGTAACCAGCACTGGGGTGTGGACCGCCCACCACACTGGAAGCTGCATATGGGCAGGGCCATGTGTGTCCTGAATAGGCCAATCCCTTACCACCTACCATGGGAGAGGCAGTGGGATAGATGCTTCTTAGGTAAATGAGTGGATGAATGAATGAATGAACTACCCATTCCACCGCCCCCACCCCGCCCCCAAAAGATTTGAAAAACTGTGGAAGGATTTTCCTTAGGGCCTGCAGGCTCCCCTGGGTCAGGGTTCTGTTGGACAGCACCAAGAGAGACTTGAAGACTATTAAAACCCCTCCACTCTCATGAAGCAGCTCTTCTCCCAGGCCCCTGCCTCTGGGAACCCCAGGACCATCATCCCCCTCCTGCCCCACAGTCCCTGCTTCTCAGCATGAAAGCTGATCCTGGGGGCAACTGGGTGGCTCTGTAGGTTAATCGTCTGCTCGGGTCATAGTCTCGGAGTCCTGGGATCAAGCGGGGAGTCTGCTTCTTCCTCTCCCTCTGCCCCCCCCCACTCATGTGTGCTCACTCTCTCTCGCTCTCTCAGATCTTTAAAAAAAAGCTGCTCCTGGGGGCGCCTGGGTGGCTCAGTTGGCTAAGCGGCTGCCTTCGGCTCAGGTCATGATCCCAGGATCCTGGGATCGAACCCCGCATTGGGCTCCCCGCTCAGCGGGAAGCCTGCTTCTCCCTCTCCCTCTGCCTGTCACTCTGCCTACTTGTGCTGTCTCCCTATCTCTCTGTCAAATAAATAAGTAAAATCTTTAAAAAAAAAAAAAAAGCTGCTCCTGGCACCAGATGCTCTCTCTTCTCTTCCCCTGCCTGTGTTCCTCTGAATCTCCCTCTCTCTCTCTCCCTCCCTCCCTCTCTCTCTCTCTCACTCACTCTCTCAAATAAATAAATAAAATCTTTAAAAAAAAAAGTTTCGGGGCACCTGGGTGGCTCAGTCGTTAAGCGTCTGCCTTCGGCTCAGGTCATGGTCCCAGGGTCCTGGGATTGAGCCCCGCATCGGGCTCCCTGCTCTGCAGGAAGCCTGCTTCTCCCTCTCCCATGCCCCCTGCTTATGTTCCCTCTCTCACTGTGTCTTTCTCTGTCAAATAAATAAATAAAATCTTAAAAAAGAAAAAATACCCCCATCGGGGTACCTGGATGGCTCACTTGGTTAAGTGTCTACCTTTGGCTCGGGTCATGATCCCGGAGTCTCAGGATCGAGCCCCAGGTCGGGCTCCCTGCTCAGGGGGTGTCTGCTTCTCCCTCTGCCCTTCACCCGGCTTATGCTCTCTCTCTGTCTCTCTCGCTCTCTCTTTAAATCTTTAAAAAAAAAAAAAAAGAATACCCCCATCAGTTGACTGTGTTTTGTAATATTTAAATAATGTAATAAGGCAAGAAAATAATCTGTTGCTATTGGAAAAGAGAAGAAATTATCTTATTTGCGGATAATGTGATTGTATGCTAAGAAAACCCAAGAGAGCCTACTAAGACAACCCATTGGGATTAATAAGACAATTTGGGAACCGACAGGATGCAAAGTAAATCGATGGTTTACACACCAAAAAAACCGAATAGTTTTACTCTGTGCTAATTAGAAGGAAAAATGGGGAAATTCACTCATAATTGCAGTAAAAATTATAAAATGCCTAGAAGTGAAGTTGAAAGGCAATTATAGGTCCAACTTGAAGAAAATTATAGAACGTTATCACAGGACAAAAAGCAAGAGACAAACAGGCAGACAAAGATCTTGATCCCTCTGAATTAATAAGTGTAATAATTCCTCTCTGATTTCCCAGTGGAGTTTTTAGGAAGGAACGGATTCAGACATTTCTGTTATCCACTGGATAAACAGAATGTGGCATAATCATGCAGTAATATATTATTCAGCCTTAAAAAAGAATGAA